AGCACCCGACATGCTTCACGTAGTAAAGCTTAGATCACTTGGCTTTTCTCACAAAATTTGGGCCACGTTTTCTTTGCCCCAGTCCAAGACTTCAAAATGTATATAGCCCTTTCATTTCTAAACTGCAGAGAACCCACCATCAGTTTCCTTGACTGAAGCCTCCGAATGCTGCCTCAAGAAATCTTGCTGAAGGACTGAGTGCCCCCCCCCCCCGGCTCGTGCTAATGGCGTCTTCCCTATCTCCCCCGTTCCCACAAACTTCAGCCCAACTCCGGTTAAGTGACTGTCCTGCCTGATGCTTGGGACTGAGGTGATCTTTGGGTATGGTAGCGACAGCAAGGTTTTATGGCACAGAACTACTTAAGTTGGATGTGTCATGCCAGATAACACGTGCTGTGTCAAGCAGACTTTTTATATTGCGTTCATGTCAACAACCACGTTCCAGAAATTCCCAGGTTCTTAGAAACAGGACAACCAAGTCTTGGAGAAAACACACAGCTGCGTACTCCCGCCCATCCTGCACAGAGCAGGTGGCTGGGTTTCAGAGGGAAGTCCTGGATAGCTGGCACTTAACCAACACACCTATGGTCCGGAGAAAAGCACTGTCAAGCACCCAGGCAGGGGAGGCCTCCCCCTTCAGCCTGCACACGTGACCCTCGGGAGACGATCTCCAGGCAAGCAACACACAGCAAAAGGTGACTACAACTCTCCAGATCAGTCCGCAGCAGGAAAGCATGAGACTCGGGAAGGCTCATCTCAGCCCAACGCTTGATGGACGGTCCCACATTTCACACAGCAGCAGCAGCAGAGCCTTGCCCAAAATATCACAAATGAACGATTCTAGAGCACACTCACTATTCTCACATAATCCATCCTCCAGGGGAACCAAGAAGAAATTTAAGAATCAGAAGAAGAAAAGAGCAGAGCATATTTTCAGGTGCCAGTTCAGAAGCCGATCCATGCAAGGGGGTACAACATCCATGCATGGTTGACATTTGAGACTATCAGCTGTATTCATGGAGAACAACACCCTTATGCATAACTCAAGTTTGCCTATTCCTAAAGCTTACAAAGGAACTCCACTACAATGTCATTATCACCTTGCCCATTTTCATGTTACCTCCACAGAAAAAAACTTATATTCAACAATTTATACTAAGTTAAAACATAGGATTGACTATACTGTCCAGTGCATTGTCAGTGCACTGTTTAGGACTTCCTGGGTTGCTTGTTTGCAAAAGCGCTGAAATTACAGCTTCGACAGTATTTGCCTCACAGGAACACATTTCAGCTCAGGTGCAGGTACAGAACACAAGCATCATGGTGTCTGCTGTACTTTCATGCAGCCTCCAAGGCCCAAGGGATGAATGCCATGTCAGAGAAAACACTCAGAGGTTACATTCCAGTAGTGGGAAAAGCCACCAAAGGCAAAAGGGAGTGGGGCCATAAAAAACAAAAACACCTGCCGGTTTTAGAAGCTTTAGCGGAAGCGTTTCAGCATTTAGAATAATGGAAAACAAGGCCTTCTGAGAAATCTTCTGAAGGCTGGTTTTGGTCCCCTGGCCTGAGGTTTTGTACCCCTGCTCAAGGACATCCATGTATTTTAAGGGATATAGATGCTGGCAAATTCTTGCTTTGGAGAACAACCTACATTTTAACTTTCCCAGTGATTCCAGAATTATCTAACAAGGCAAACTACAATAAGCAGGAGGGAAAAATGGAAAAGTTAACTCAAAGGGCCCGAGAATCACGGTAACCAAACAATGTTTCTTGAAAATCACATGCCAAGCACTTTAACAGGGCCAAGATTCACCCACAAGAGAGTGAGAAACCGACTTGCTGCCAAGGCCCCCCTCCAGCCATTTAAGGATTTCATACAAGTTTGTAAATTGCCACTTACCCAACAGTCTATGGTGAGAATACATGGCCTCAGGGCAAGCAGAAAAGATTTACAGGATTCTATTTTTTTTAAGGCCACAAACTGCTAATATTAGCATGTATGAACAGATGGCCAGTAAGCCTTTTAATAACCTCCCTGTACAAAGCCACCTTTGCTTCCAGTCTTTTCCTCCCAACTAACTGCAACAACCAAAAGAAAGAGAAGAGAAAGGGGCTGCCTGCCTTCCAGCCCGTTCCAGTAGAGAAGGGCACACTATTCAGTCTTTGGACTTCGCTATACAACTGGCGGGAGTTACACCGAATAATTAAACTTCATTTTAAAAATACCACCACTGCCCAAATGTTTGAGCTTTCTTTCCTCAATGTATAAAGCTGATTTGGCATCCACAGATATACAGGCCAGTGCATAATTATGTCAGAGCCTAGTTTTTTGACAACTGGAATCAAGCCAATTCTTGTTAAGACGCTGTCCACATCTGCTGAACCTATCCAATTTTGTGAGGATGGTGCAGAAGGAACCCTTTTCTTAATGACTATTGTAATCTGCAAATAATGGAAGAGGAAAGCTGAAAGATGGAGGGAGGAAACAAAATCACACCCCTCCCCGAAAGTGATGAGGCAGGCCATTTCCCCATCAGAGCGTGAATTCATACATCCCGATGCAATCTGGGTATTCAGCACACCCTACAACTGTTTTCCCCCTCACCTCAGATCTCCAAACTGTATGAAGAAAACAACTCTGCAACACTATTATGAGCAACCCACCCCCCCAAAAACCCCTCCCAACTATCAACCAGAAGAAGATTTCATCAGATATTCTGGACCACAATTCACATGATCCCTGACTGCTAACGAGGCTAGCTGGGGCTAATGGGCAATGTAGCCTACAGCACTGAAGTGTACCAGGTTGCTGTTCCCTGTTTCTTTATAGACTACTGAAACAACCTGCAGACAACAAGTGCCATGTTCCCACTCAGAAAGATCATTGAAGCTTTCCTTTTTTTATATAAAGAAATAAAAACAAAGACATCAGGGCAAGAGAATGTTCTTGACAGCAGAAGGAAGAGAATGATCTAAACCACTTTGCGTTCTTTAAAAGAAAAAAGGTGCAATATAAATCTAATAAGTAATGATTGGAAAACACTTTGGGTAGCCAGGTAGAAGAAAATTCAAAGTTAATGCAAAAAGTAGTATACTACATTGTAAACACTAGTTAGTCCTGCTAAAAGCATTAATTCGATTTGGTGAACTTTGCTATAACCCAGAAGCAGTGAACCTGTAATTCTCCAGTTTTGTTGGGAGTAAATCTCCCAGCATCCTGGCCTTGGGCCACAGGGGCTGTGGCTGCTGGGAACCACCACACATACTGGCACAGACAGGAAGGCCACATCTAAAATCTTTCTTCAACATACAACTCAATGGCTAGCCTTTGTTGCCCATTTCCAAAACTTGGCTTCTATTAAATGGAAAGCATAACGAAGTTGTCCTACAGTGGTTTTTCTAATTGCTCCAAGACTTATGTATCACAGGGAATCTTTATAACACCCCAGCAAGCTCATGATTCAATCTACCTCATATCACCCATCAAGTCAGGTGGCATTCAACCTCAATTCCTTCTCCTGCCCTATGCTTACAGGACAAGAACAGAACCTTCTGCATTATTCCAGCAATTCTTACAATGACCTTGTCTTGTTTCAAACACTTGAAGAACATTATTATAAAAGCTTGGACACACAACACATGTATCATGTTTTGTCTAAAATATATAAATGATTGTAAATACTTGCAAAGTGCTGAATAAATGCAAGTAAATTAGGAGCACTTCTTCAAATGTATACTTCAGCTCCCTTTTTGACTACTGCATGGATCATGAAAATGAGCAGAAGCAAAACTCTCTGAACCTTTCTAATACATTCAGTCTCATTAGTAGCTACACAGCACACAATCTCCCAGAAGATCAACCCGCACAAAGTTCGGCTGAAGTGATTTCCAAGCAGCACAGACACAGGATAACAGTCAAATCCCTTTACTGAAAACAAACCAATTGCTTCTGCATAGGTATGGCTGGTCTGCCAGAATCACCAAGATAAAACATACACCATGGAAATACAACGCCAGTCAACATTTTGAAATCAGCAATTTATGAATGCCAAGGAGTGATCCACTCGTTTTGAAGTTCCAGGAACCTCATAGTGCAACATAACAACCCAGCATGCTGTATTACTCCCAAACATTTGTACCTATAAACATGAAGCATCACCATCATTAGCACAATAATGTTTATCGTGCTAGGACAGCCACAGTTTGAAATAGACACAGCCGAATACACCATGGAAAACTGTCAATTAAAATCTGCATGTAGATAAGATAAGACCTCCTTTCAGATCAAGTGAAGAACTGTTACAAGTATCACTGCATCTCGTTGCATATTTTTAAATGAACTAGATAGAGACATCAAAATCTATAACTATGTATAGATATATTATCTATAAACCTGCCTCTTTATACACCCGCACACATTGCAACCCACTGTCCGTTTTCATTCTACCTTGCAAAGGTCACTGAAGACAAAAACCACCCGGATCAAAGCATCCTTTGTCATTCAATACTTGGAAGCAGAGCCTGCATGACAGACCTCCCCCTAGCAAGAGGATGCCAGGTGTGTTGGAACTACGGACCCCATCGTCCCCAGCCAGCACGGTCAATCGTGCGGCTGGTGGTATGAGTTACTGATACGAGCCTGTTGCTGAGGAGAGGAGTGGGAGTCGAGCGATGAGAGGCGGCCGTTCACTTCATTTACACAGCGCCACGGTACTCAGGGCTGGCTGGGGACGATGCTGGGAGCGACTCTCCTCCGATCTATGGCACGCCTATCCACGAAGCCTGTCCCGCGGGGCTGGGGATGATGGAGGCCGTTCTCCCTCCCAGCTCTTCCACCCCAAGGCAGGAGCAGCGGCCCGCCGGGCCGGGGTCGAGGGGGCTCCAGCCCAGGCAGCTCGGGCGAGCGCGCCGAGCCCCGCGCCGGGAAGGCGGGCTGGCCCGGTCTCGCCGCGCGGCCCCCGGGCGCGGCCCCCTCCCGCGCGGCCCCGCGCCTCACTCACATCTGCGCATCCACTTGATCCAGTGGTGGACGATGGTGCTGTGGTGCCGCTTGTTCTCCAGGCACCACGACGACAGGCCCTGGATGGACTCCATGGTGTTGGTCACCGACTGCAGCTTCCTGTCCAGCGACGCCTCCAGCGGGGCCGAGGAGGCCGCCGCCGCCGCCGCCGCGGCGGAGGACGACGACGACGAGGAGGAAGAGGAGGAAGAGGAGGAGGACGACGACGAGGCCTTGCCGCCGCTGCCGCCGGCCGCCATCTTCCCTCCCCTTCGGTCGCACAAGCAACGCCGCTGAGGGGGAGGGGGAGGGGAGGGGGAGGGGAGGGGGAGGGAGCGGGCTGCGCGCGCACCCGCCGCAAGTGCCCGCCCTCGCTTCTCGCGCGCAGGCGCAGTGGGGAGGCAGGCACGCGCCCGAGGCCGCTGCTCCTGCCGAGTGGGGGGGGGCGGGGCGGGGGTGAGGACATGTGTTCAACGGTACCATGTAATGGAATAACAATAAATAATAAAAAGAGTGTCTCCATTTTTTCAACGGGAATGTCGGAAAAAAAGGGAGAAATATTCTTCTGCAGCCCCAGCTCATTGTGTGCCTTTGTATTGAGGACTGAGCGCCTATTTAGGCTGCTTTGCTGCAGATGTTGCGAAATATCACCTTGCGAAGAGTTTACGATGGATAAAAGAGGTGGGGTGAAGGGCGGGCTCGAGTTGCCTAGCAGTATTTATTAGCAAGGTTTGCAGACCGCTTCGCATCGGAAACGGGTCAAATACAGCGACTCTTTCTCACAGGGAGGGCTTGCTCCCCGAGAGGACAGCTTGCTCGCGTGCAAGGCACACCTCATCTTGTCCAAGTCAAATCTGCTTTCCTCCTCAATAGGGCATTTTGAAGGGTTTTCACTGATAGGGTCACCATAACCCGTAGACGACTTGGCAGTATGGAACAGCAGCAGCTTCGGCTGTCAAGGCCAAAGCTCTCCCTGAGTGCACGAGAAAAGTTTTACCAACGGGCCGAAGCTTCTCCGCATCTCGCCTTGCTGGAGAGCGACCCCTTTTCCTGCATGAACCGCTTTTGCAGTGCGCGCTCACTGCCCCAACACTATGCAAAGTATTTATATTTGCAAAATGCACGAAAATACCCCCTCAAACAATGCTCGGCTTTCAGTGATTTTTTTTTTTTTTTATATATTTTACTCTTTGCGTAGACAACGAGCGCGCCAAGGAATCAATCACGCTCTACGCCACACGGGAAAAGGAGGCGTTTTCTGCTACGGCGGACAGTAATCTAATAAGGCCGTCGAGGGTTCCACCCCCGTCGAGTGTCCATTGGTGGGTGCGCGCGCGCGCGCCCGCTGTGCTGCCAATGATGAAACGGCAGGCGTGCGCAGAACATCCAATGATGAGCCAGCAGAAAAGCGATGCGGCCAATGGGATGCAAGAAGGGCGCCGGAAATGCTGGCGCGAGGCGAGGCGGACCTTTCACCTTTGGGTGCCGCGCCCACTTTTGACCCAATAAAGGGCAAATCGGCCCGTCAGCTTCACGTGCTGGGGCGGCGCGCGCGCGCGGCCTCCTCGCGACGGGCCTTGCCCTCTGAACACGGGCGCTTCCAGCGGCTTCATCAACCAAAACCGGCCATTTTGTAGCAGCGCGCCCTATTTCTGGCAGCAAAGGCGACCACAGCGCATGCGCGGGACAAAACGGAGGCGCACAGGCAACCTTCTCTAGTAAATCCTCGGCGTCAAAAGCGTCGCACTTTGTAGGCGGCGCTCGAGCTCGTAACTGCGCAAGCGCCAATTGGGCTTCGCGCGTGCGTCCTTGTAAAGCAGCGTCTACGAAATACATTCCCAGAAGCCCTTGCACTCAAGCTTGGTCACATTCCCAGAATTCCATGGGAGTTTCATTTTGTCATATCTCCGCAAGGTTGTTTTCTTCTTCTCACATTATAAAAGAAACTAAATAACTTTGAACTTAAGTCCCATTCTTTTCAGCTTAAAGTTACAAAGCTGCATCCAGCTCAACTCATGTTCTACTTCCGCCTTCACCTAGTGAAAATCAATGCATTTTCGTAATTGATTTGCAAAGTATCAGAAACACGGGAAAGACTTGGGTTCCGTTATTTACCCCAAGAAAGGACTAGCCACCTTTCAAAACTGTCCTTTTGCAAGCAGCAACATCTAACAAAGCCTTCCCCAAGGTGGTGCCCTCCACAGCCTATTAATTTATTCTATGAATAAACAGCTCTACAGGGTATCAAGGCACTTGGTTGCAAGGGTAGCCTCACCTGCCTCAAACTGTGGAATAGCAAGCTGGCCAGCCTTTGCCATTCATCCTCAGGCACGTGCATAGAAAAACATAGAAAGCCATGAGTGGGGAGCCAAAATCACACAGAGCTCTGTCCAAATTAGTTTGACTAAAGGCAGGTATCAAAAATTAGGCTCTGTCTCTAAATATGAAGTCAGGAAATATTCAAGTCTCTCTTCTCTCCATTTTAATCGTGCGGGGGGGGGGTTAGATTTTATAAAATGTAAGAACTGTAATGTGAGAACTTTCACCACTCTCCAAGCAGGGTTATTTACAAATTTTACTATCTCACGTCTGCCTCTCATGTATTCCTTTTGGGCCAAGTCTTAATTTAGAAAGCAAATTTGAGTAGAGCCCTTGGCCTGTGATTTATCATTCTAAGCTACTCCAGGAAAGGACAGGAGATAAAATGCCACTTTGATTGCCATTTTGGGGTAAGGAAAGCGTACAAATGAAATACATGCATGAGATTCATTCCCATGCCATCTGTTTAGTACTGCATACTTTTGCAATCTGTCCAGAGAATGCCCATTGCTGGACAGAAAGATGAGAGATACGGAACATTCCCACTAGTGTTTGCAGGTAAGATGGTCTCTTCTGTTCCACCCACCCTACTAGGGGATAGTGTTGTCTGTCTTGCCTGTCTAGGGCTTGGGATGGGACGAGAGAAAATATTCCTTACACAAAGCACTGAGACAATAATTTATGACTCTTGACTAACCCTTGCTAAGTACTCATAAAATTATGGACTGTGTGGGAAAAGAAAGAGAATGGCTTCTTTCTTGGATATTATAGGTGTTCAATCAGGATCCCGCAGGGAACTGACAGGCAGTGGGCAGTAAAGAGAGGAAGTAAAGACAAAACATCACTTGCACAACATATAATTTAAGGTATTTTGCTTTGATGACTTGTATTGCCTTACCGTTATTTTATCTGCTGTTATGTTTAATCCCTACTTGTTGGTTTGATCTTTAATTTGGTAGAGGGATTTTTGCTATTTTTAAACAATAATTACTGTTATTTCTGTACTTGTTTCTAGCTGTCTTGGGAATGATTCAACAAAAAGAAAATGTTTTTTTTTTAAGAAATAACTTTAAGGAACTTGTCGGTCTGCTTCACACTTAACACCCTATTTGCTGCATGGCCACCCAGAGGGAGCAAAGAATTTCCTTTCCGCTCACTCACTCGGCTTTCCACACCACCCCAGGAATGCTATTTCTTTGATATGGTATCTAGACCCACAACTCTGGATTGCTGAAAATCAAGCAAACCTAACTACTCAATCAGTAACCATGGGGTTTCAAATTCTCCATTGCCTGCCCCTCTACAATCCAGAGTTTCAGGTCTGGACTTTGCACCAAGAAACCTAGGAATGGGGTTCCCCTTAGTTGTTGACGACAACCTGATTCAAAATAGGATCGGTGAGCAGGCAGGAAGCAGTGTACTTGATGGCTTGGTGCCACCCTGACAACCCATAATTTAAACCACCCATGGAGTGTTACAGACCAGGCCAAAGCCACAGACTTCTGCTGGGAATGACTTACAGAACTTTAGACAAGAAACAAGGGAAATTCATGGAGGAGAGAGAGGCCTACCAGTGCTGGGAAGCTATGACGGCCAGCAAGGGGAGTCTCCCATGTCCAAAGCATTCTGCCCCTATTTGTTCTGGAAGCGGCAGAGCGGCAGGACAGGGCTACTGCCCCAATCTGGGCTTTCTGGAGGCATCCAGTCGGCAGGACCTCTGGGCTTGTGCCACAGAAAGACACTCTGGTGTTCTCACCTGCTGCTGTTCATCTCCGTTCGTGCCGAACTGTGAAACTCAAACTCAGGCTACTCGGCAAGCAGGCTGTTCAAAAGTGCCAGAAAAGAAGCATGGTGGTTCATTTTTCAACTTCTTACAAAAAAAGTTTATTATGTGGATGTAGGATGCGGGCTAAATCCCCAGCTCCTAAACTGCTGTACAATTTTCCAACATTGTGAACTGCACCCTTGTGTCCATTGGAGTTGGTAACTGACCCCCACACAGCTCCCCCTCCTCCCTGAGTCCTTCTTTCTCCCCTTCGTCGGGCATCTTGCTTTGTCACCTAGTGTCCCATCAAACCTACAGAACTGGAAAAAAAGAAGCCAAAAATTTAAAAAAAAAAAGAGCTGCATATCTTTAGAGGCCAACAAGGTTTGGAGAGGAAAGATGATGTAGCTGGAAATAGATTTCTTTCACTGTTTTTCCATGGCCTCAAAGCTGAATTCTTTCCAGAGAGCATGACAGGAAAGCTAAGGAGCACACATCAAAATCCATGAACTGTTTCAGTTCAAAAAGAAAAGAAAAACAAAAAATCCTGTGTAGTTTTGATCTGTTTTTGAAAAATATTTCTTTTAATCATATGTGTTATACTGTGAGGAACTTGAGGGGAGAAAAGGGAGGAAGCTCTAAGTCCAAAGTTTCAGCTGAGTTCTTTGCTTCTCAAAACTGACACTGCAAATTGCTGTAAACAGGGGCTCATAAAATGGTTTCAGTCTGTGGATTCCAACACCGACTCGCTCAGAGCCAGGTCCCAATAGTGCTCTGCCCCATGCTTTTTAAAGTGCTCCCGTGCCATATTCTCAGTGGGGCACTGCTTGAATTTCATTTCCCCAAAGCTGCGCTCCTTTGCTGTGCCCTGGAAAGGCAAAGAGGGGAGGAGAGAAGATTTAGCGTCAAGCAAAATGCCAAAGAGACCGACACTCCAACCCAACACTTCAGTGACCAATGCAGCCCAGAAGCTCAAGTCCAAACTACTCCGGTAAATTCGTTATTTAACTTACCTCCCAAACCAGAGAACATTTGTTTGTCTTTTTCACAGACTCCTCATCAGATTCATCGTCATCTGAAGAAAGAAAAATAATACCAAGTAAGTGTCTGTGCCTGAAAGACTGAAGATAACAGAATTTGAAGGATTCAACAGCCAAATCTATAGAACTAGGAGCTCCGCGGGAAAGGGAGATATCAAGGCAATTGCTGAGGCTGCTTTTATTAGAAAGACTGAGACAGAAGCAAGTCCACAGGCCACAGCATGGCCAAGCAAGAGCATTTTTCTGTGCCATCATCCACAGGATAGTGCCGGAGGACAGCTAGTTAGGTGCAAAGGCTGCACAGTCACAGCGTCTTTGTTCTGGAATGCTCTGCCTAAGCTCATGAAAAAGCACAGGATTTGGAAGATTGCAGGATTTGGAAGATTTACTATCTTCTGTGGGACCCCTTCTGCAGTTTGATTTCTGTTATTGTTGATTTTTCATCGTCAGAAAACGAAACAGGCCCCCTCCCACCCATGTTTATTTCCATGCGGAGCGCAGCATCATGTAAGAACGCACATCCTTACCGTCTCCCTTTGTGTTTGATGTCTGTTCATCCCACTTTATTCGATGCAGCATGAGCCGTTTGAATTTCTTCTGTGCTTTAGGGCCTACAAAATCAAGAGGGTGGGGGGGGGGAAATCAAAAGGGGTCATTTGCATTCTGAAAGGACCATCAGCCTTCAGCCCAAGAAGCAGTATTGTGCTGATAGAAGTGTGCAACAGCCTTCTCCAATCAGGTGCCCTCCAGATGTGCTGGACTGGAACACACCTTTTCTCTGAACCAGTCCAACACATCTGGAGGATTACTGCAGGCTGGCTGGCAAGCATCAGAAGGAGGAAGTGGCCTCAGCCAGACTCTTTCAGATCTATCTACGCCCCAGCAAGGGTCAGAAAGGTGCCTTTGAAGGCGGCACTGGAAGCAAAAACATGGGAACTTAGAAAGTGGTGGTGTGACACACCCGCCACTGCACCTGCCCTTCCTCGGCAGGTGCCCATGGAATGACAACCACACATTCCTGTTCCTCTGGGAAACTTCCAATTTCTTTTAAAGGAGAAGTCACTTAGGTTGCAACAAATTTATACTGTTTATACTTAATTTATACTGTTAATTTATACTATTGTATGTATGTTTATTTATTGTTGTGAGCCACCTCGAAGCTTTGGCGAATGGGGCGGCATAGAAGTCTTCTAAATAAATAAATAAAAATTCCATATGCTAATTTTGGGCTGCATGGGGTGGGCCAGCCCCACCTCCCTTAGGGGGCTGAGGTCTGCATTTCCTCAGGGTAACCTGCTGGGGAATGCCTGCTGGCGGTGGGCTTCACCAAAGCCGGCAGGAAGTGGGGCCAGAGGCAAAAGAGCGTAGGCCACGTCCTTCTCTACCTCTTTCCCTACCGACCGAAAGGGTCAGCTCACTCCTGACAAGGCCTGAGCGGGCTGCTTACAGGCAGCTTTTGAAATCGGGCTGGGGGCGCAGGTTGCCCACCCCAGTGGTCCTGCGCCTCCTGCCAAATCCTTTCCACTAGAGGAATCCAGGCTCCGAGAACACGCCAGCCACTCAAGCGGAGGGATGTGCTGCCTCGCAGATGCTCAGCGGGCCTCCACCCCACCTCGGCCGCCTCACCTCCTTCTACCACCACCACGTTGACGTCTTTATGCAACACCACGACTCCGGTGAGGTACAGCTGTCCGGCATTTGCTTCGATTTTGAATTTCTTTGCTGGGTTGCTTAAATTTCGCACTCTGGTGGGGAAGGGGTTTGGAAAGAGAAATTCATTAGAACACACGGGGTGAGGGGCAAGGAAGCCTGAAGATGGCTTTGCTCTGGAGAAGCCCTGGGGCTGGATCAGAGCAGGGCTCACTGAACTCAGCGCCTGGCTCATGCTGGGGCTGGGCAGCTGCCCGGGGAAAAGCCACATGTGGGACACGCGACCGTTCCCACCCACGTTTCCCAGCCGGGGGGGGGGGCGGGGGGAGAGAAGCACACTGATAGCAGAGGCCAGGTGCAGCCTTCGGGCCTAGCAGTGATGGGCACGACACTCACCTATACACAGCTATGTGGACTCCCTGTGAAATGTCTTCCTTAAGCTTTTTCACCTTTTTCGCTTTCCTCTGCTCTGCGGTGAGCTTTCGTGCCGCATTCGCCTCTTCGTGAGCTCTGCAGGGAACAAGGTAAACGCACATGGGGGAGATGCTGTGAACCCTATGCGTGTCTTTCCACGGCCTTCACAAGGGAAATGGTTACACCTCGGATGAATGACGGGCCTCACCAGACCGGAGAGAGACGTGCATTGCTGGTGTATTCCTCTCTAGCCTTTCTCTAAGAGCTTCCCCATTTTATGATTCATTAGTCACACCGCACTTTTAGCCAAGACCATCAAACAGCTCACTCTGGCTTTGCATTTTGTATGTACACCCACAGCTTTGACTGCCACTGTTCCGGTTCTGCGTCCTACTCCACACCTTCAGGGGTCATTGTCACAGCCTGCCTGCCAGTTTGTTACTACTGTGCATTTCTCGCTGGCTACTCTCTTAAGAACTAAGCAGGCCACAGTCTGAAAAACCATGGGGAGGGTCCCCATGTGTTATTTTCCAGCTACAAAATGGACTTTGCCTGGGACAGTAAGACAAGGATGAGGAGAGACTGTTGGACTGCTTTGCTGCCAGGAGCGGATGAGTGATGCAGCCCGACCTCACCCAGAGAAGCACACTCTCCTGGCCCCGCCCTGGGAGGCAGGACATCAGCTGACCCAGGGATGCCCAGTGGGCAAGGAGCAAGCCCATTTTCCCAGTCCACTCTCACACACCACCCTTCCTGCCTCCACCCGAATGCCATGGGAACAGCTGACAAAAATCAACATACTCCAAGCATGTTTTTTTAATTGTTAAAACATATGATCTGGCCAGGGCAACTTCTTCTTCCTTCTCTTCCTATATTTTTATTTACTTAATTTATACTGATAATTTTAATCTTATATTTGTAAATCAATGTATTTTTTGTATTTTTGTATTTAATGGTAATTTATTATGTGCTATTGT